ATTTTTTATATAGAGTGAACTTTGAGTATGTGTCTATGAAAAGACCAAGGACATTGCACACATGATTAGAAGGGACCTCAGTAGACCATGGAATTCAACCTGGAACAGAATGAGAGAAAGCCTCATGGAATAGATGTGTTGGGGGGAGGGAAGGCATTAGCAGGGTGAGACAAGATATGAAGAAGGGGCACCAGAATGAACTGGGCAGTTTCCTTAAGAACCTTTCATGAGAACACTTGGAAATTTATGTCAGAATGACACTGAAAAATTTTTGTAATCGCATACAGCTGCTTCTCATTAGTCATGGTAGTTATGTTCTGTAAAGTCATCACAAATGAGTGAATAATGAACCATGCTCCCAGGGGAAATACGGGGCTAAGTTTCTGTGAGCCTCTGACCACAATATTTTCATCAACTGATCAGTAGATAACCTTGTTTTATGTGCATTTGTTTAAAGACTCCTTATTTAATATATATTTTGATTCATTAATATTGAACTAACAGCAGCACTATACCTCATGCCAGAATGAAACTTACCTAACGTGTATTTTCTCGTTAAGGCACATCACAGCCTTCTTGCACTTGGGAACACCAAACATTTCAGCACTGTGCTTGTGGGCCATTTTAAACAGCAAAACCATCATCACCAACAACAAAAGTACAAAAATCATGGCACCAAATAGACCAAGAAAAGGACCCTTGGCTACAGTATGAGAACTGAAACAAGAATGCAGAGTGTCACCTTGTTCGACCTCAGCTGGGAAAGTGTACATCAGGTGACTCAAACTTTTCTATGCTCTGTGCATGTCAACAAGAACTGCAAAAGTACCAGGACTATTGATTTGGAGTTATAAATACATTTTAGCAAGTAGGTGAATTCACAAATATGGAATCCATGGGGCCTAATGGACTTATTATGAGGATGATAATTATTTCTTAATTATTAAATATTATTATGAGGATTTACTGTATATTCATATCACAGTCAGTATACACATAGTAAATGTATCTAGTTCTGATTCCATAATGTGGTCTTCATTAAGTCGTTCTAGGTATCATATGTGGGTTCCAGAGTTGGGTAATTCATCCTGACTATTCAAATTAGACTTCAAGTGCCCACAGGGGCAAGACTAGGTAAAGAGAAAGTGGTCAGTAATACTTAGTTAGGCCTAGATACACCACCTATTAACCCTGTGCATTTGCCAGTAGGATGTTAAGACCAAAAAAATGCGTGGGTACACAGTGAGACATATGGCAAACTCATCTCCACATGGATTGATACAGCCCCAGGTAAGAGGGGTGAGGGCTGCACCCTTCATCACTGGCCTGGATCCAGGAGTTTGAATTGCCTGAGCTCATTTTTTAGTATTACTTCAAAAATCTTCCAGTGCTGAGACAATGTGTGCTGCCGAGACATGGCTGGAGGGCCCCCATCACTGCCTTGGTTCCCACCGTTGAGCTGCCCTGGCCAAGGACTGCTGCCTCCCATGGGTTACACAGGTTACATGCTCTGTTGTGCTTCAGTGCTGCACTTCCCAGGACCCTGCCAGGCCAAAGCCAATTGGTATTCTGAGAAGAAGTAGGAAAACTCTCTGTATTACTTTCCTGAGGCTGCCATAAAAAACCACCACAAACATGGTGATTTAAAACAACAAAAGGTATTCTCTCACAGTTCTGGAGGCCAGAAGTCAGAAATCCTGCAGGGCTGCCCTTCTTCCAGGGGCCCTAGGGGAGAATCTTTGTTTCTCCCCACATTTGGTGACACAGGTGTTCCTGGGCTTGTGGTCTCATCACTCTAGTCTCAGCCTCCCTCTTTACAACTTCTCTGTGTATCTCTTACTAGAGGCCCAGTGCACGATATTTGTACACTGAGGAGGGAGTCCCTCAGCCCAGCCTGAGCCCTTGTGCAGTCCGGGACCCCCTTCAGGGACGTTTGACTGATGGCTTAGGCTCACTCCTAAGCCGTCAGTCAGACATCCTTAGCGCTACTGTGGAGGTGGGCCGCTACGCTCACCAGCCATCAGCCCGGCTTGTGGCTGAGCTACACTCCCCCTGTGGGAGCCTACTGACCACCAGTGGGCAGCTCCTGTGTCGAGCATCTGCCCCCTGGTAGTCAGTGCCCATCATAGCAAGCGGTCGTTCCGCAGTTTGATCGATTTGCATATTACCCTTTTATTATATAGGATGAGGGCATTCATTTGTCATTGGATTTGGGGCCCACCCCGATAATCCAGAATGATCTCATCTCAAGATCTTTAACTTAAGTACATCTGCAAAGACCCTTTTCCAATAAAGTCATATTCATAGATTCCAGGAATTGACATGGACATACCCTCTTAGTGGGGTCGGAATCACCATTGAGCCACTACACTCTTATTTAACCCATTCTTAACATTTTTTTTCACCTGGAAATTAAAGTGGTCCCCTGGTCTTAGAGTTAAATGGGGGGGGGGGGGGGACACACCTCCCTTAATTCTAGTCCAAAGGCCTTTATTTCCCAAGGCCGAGATAAGTCCCAAGCTGGAGCAAAGGGTCAGTCCCTAAGATTGATATCTTCCCAGTTTCCCCACTCACCTCCCCTAGTGCTCCCTCACACCTCTTCCACCAACACCCCCAAGGCATCACCTGTGATGTTTCCCACTGTCAGCCATCTGCTGGCATGATGGTTTCCTAGAGTGAACACTGCTTCAGTAAAGCCAGGATCCTCTCCAACTCCCAGCCCCCAACCACAGATGCATCCCTAAACCAAAATCTTAGTAAATGTTTCCGTCTAAAATTAAACTACACTGAGAGGCTTTACAAAATGAAGAAATAAATAAACCATAAACTCTTTCACAATTAAATCTTTATAACTTCCCCTCACTGAATTACAGTGTACTGCAATTATTGGGCAGGTGAAACACTTGTTGAATTGAATTGAGCCAAACCTGAAAACAAAAATGAAATAGAATAAAATGAAATAGACCCATTATGATAGCTAATTTTATGTGTCAACTTGGCTGGGCCATTGAGCACAGATATTTGGTCAATCATTATTCTGGATGTTTCTGTGAGTGTGTTTATGGATGAGATTTAAGTCAGTGGACTTCCAGTAAGGCAGATGGCTCTCCATAATATGAGAAGGTGTCATCCGATCCATTGAAGGTGTGACTTCAACAAAAGGCTAACTGCCCCATGCAAGGAGAATTCTACCAACAGAAGCCTTAGGATTTAATCTATAATATTGGCTCTTCCTGGTTCACCAGCAGACTGCTTTGGACTAAAACCACAACTTTTTTCTGAATCTCCAACCTGCTGGCTTCCTCCATCAGATTTTGGGCTTGCCAAGCCTCCACAATTGCATGAATCAACCCCTTAAAATAAATCTCTTTCTACATATGCACACATCCCATTGGTTCTGTTTCTCTGGAGAACTCTCACTGATATACTGATGTTATGCCAAAGGCCAAACACAAAACCACTGATTTCAAGTTGACATGGCCCTGCTCACTATTGCATTAAAAGGCCTGGTAGCCTTAGAAGTCACACTGTATGGTTTGTTTTTTATATCCTACAATCTCAAAAAATACACTCAGTTCATTTAACCACATATATACTTTATTTTTATACTTAGGTTTTGATATGAAGTTTCCACATGCTGGTGGCTGCCATCACTCTCGAGTGTTATAAGCTAGGACAGAAGAACCCACTTCAGCTTTCCTCTCAGTCAACGGTTCTCAAAGTGTGGTCCCCAAACTGCAGCATCCACATCACCAGGAACATGATAAAAGTGCATATTCTCAGGCCCAGCCACTATCTACTGAATCAGGAGCTCTTCAGGAGGGGCCCAGGAATACATCTTCCCACAAGCTCCGGGGTGATTTTGATGCAAGCTAAAGTTTGAGAATCACTGCCTTCAATATAGAAGACTAAGACACTTCCCCAATTTTCTCAATTACAGAAGGTGAAGATATTCCTCCAACTACCTGATTATTTGATAATTTTGAGTGGTAAGGTCCTGAACAGAATCTTCTAGATTGGCTGATCTTGCACAACCAAAAATACATGTAGAATTAGAAAACACGTCCAACCTGACTTTTGTTGCACCTCAGAAATTGGCAAACAGAAAACAAGCAAATTTCTACCAATGCCTAACACTTACCCTCCACTTTAGACTCAAGTCCTCTTCATTCCTTCTGTGCCTTCCCTCATGTTTCACCCTGTCACCTAAACGACCTACCCACTCTCTGATTCATCAATTCATCATTTCTGGCCCAGCTGAGGTCCCATCTTCCTGGTGATATCTTTTCAGCTACACTGCTCTCTCCCTTTATCAAATACCTGGTTGGATTATTGCATGTTCTCATTTAGTTATTTCAATTCAGCATTGGGTTGCATTGGTATTTATCTGTTCTCCCCCGCCCCCAATTCCCCAATACAACTTTAAGTAGTTGTATATGTCTGTCTTAGTCAGCTGAAGCTGCTAAAATAAGACACCGTGGTGTGGGTGGCTTATCAACAACAGAAAGTTATTTCTCACAGCTCAATAGGCCGGAAGACTGAGATCACAGATGGTCTGTTCTGGTAAGAGCCTTCTTCTGAGGTACAGATGGCTGATTTCTGGGTGTGTCTTCACTTGCTGAAAAGAGCTGGCGAGCATTCTGGTCTCTTATAAAGGCACTAATCCCATCACCAGGGTGCCACCTTCATGGTCCAATTGCCTCCTGCAGGTTCCACCTTCTAACATCACATGAGGGGTTATATTTCAACATATAAATTTTTGCGGGGGGAGGTAATGGGGGCACACAAACATTCAGTCCATAATAATACCCATGGCACCTAGCACCATGTTAAACACATAGTAGATAAGCAACAGGTACATGTTGAATTGAACTGAATTATAAAGACTTGGTTACCATAAATTTTATTGGCCTCTGGCAATAGCTATCAGATTTGCTTATTTTTTTTTTATAGATAGTTGATTTATTGGTGCGTGTAAAGTGGGGGCAGTACCAAGACTCTCATGAGTGTAGGGCTCTCCATTTGTCCAGGGGACCACGATTAGGGATGTATTTGACTCCACAGCCATCTGGGATGAGGCGCTTCTCGGCCACCATGTCTTCAAACTCATCCGCATTAAACTTAGTAAAGCCCCACTTCTTGGAGATGTGGATCTTCTGGCAGCCAGGGAACTTGAACTTGGCTCTGTGTAGGACCTCGATCACATGCTCCTTGTTCTGCAGCTTGGTGCGGATGGACATGATGACTTGGCCATTGTGGGCTCTGGCCGCTGTGCCTTGGGGCTTTCCAACGGCACCCTGCATGCCTGTTTGGAGGCTAGATTGGGGACAGCATGAGTTCAGACACGAGTGTCCACCAGAAAGGGCTGTATCCAAGGTCCCTTAAGGCAACCCTTACTAGCAACAGGTTTCATACACCACCAAGGATGCTGCTGTTTGCAGCCATTGCACACCAGGCCCCCGTGGGGAAAAGAGCGTGGTCGGCTTAATTGGCTGCAGTGCCTATCTTTTACCAAGCTATCATGAAGAAGTCACCATTCCTTGCCCTGGAGGAAAGGGGGAACAAATATGCACAAATAAACTGTAAAAATCAAACTGGGCCCTTGTAGAGGTGCCAAGAAAGTGCTCCAGAATCGCAGAAGACAGGAGCAATCTGCATGCTTAGCACCAGAGCACTGATAGGGCTCAGTAAATATTTCTGATGGATTCAATGACTTTCGTATTTTATAGTTTTTGCAGCCACTAGAACAGAATGTGATACATGCTCCAGAAATGTCTGTGGAATGAATAAGTCAACTCTCAAGATAAACGTTAGTGCTCTCCCAGCCTCACAGGCCGGGAGCATACCCCGCTGTGTGGTGGACTCTCTTGTTCCTAAAGTTCTTAGTTGAATCCATAGCGGGAATTTACCTTTAAAGAGGGCGGGCCAGGACTTTGCTCCTGTGTCCGGAAGTTGGGATTCTGTTGAGTGACTACATCAAGTTTCCCTTAAAGAGTAAACAATATGTTCTGTATTATCTGATCATTCTCAGGCATCTGCTCAGCAAACTGCATCCCTAGGGACTGAATTCTTACTTAGTTCCTACTAGAGGTCCCAAATTTGATAGCAGAAGGCAGTAGGTGGAGCTTCTCATGCTCCAGCTAACACAACTCACAAGTCCACCAACACAGCTGCCTTCCTTTGAGCTCTGGGACTGCTGAGAAGCCATGGGCTGAATAAAGAACCTCATCTTTAAGGAGGAAGTTGACTTCCCTTGCCCAAGGGATTGGTGCTCCATAAGAAGAAAATGATTTATTTCTGGTGTATCGGGAAAGGACAAAACGATGTGAGACATGAGCATCTAAAAGACCATCAGCATGGACACGAGAATGACAGCCAAGAGTTAGGGTGCTGCCATTTAGCTAACTGCACAACTCTGGGCAAATCAGAATGTAGGCGTCAGTTCTTTTTGTAGAACAAACAGATTATCTGGTTTACCTCAGATCCTTCTAGTTTAAATATTCATCTCACTGTGTTTTTTACCTATTTGTTATCAGTCCCTCACAGTAGTATGCCTATTGGCCAATACTTCTCCTGCTTGCTCATGTTTCTGGCTAATGTCTCATCATTTTCCACATCCTTCTGCGATTTCTAGCAAATTCTAATATCAGTCTGGTTTCTAAAGCATGTAGCTAATCTCTAGTTCACCTTGTTTCAACTGCTACATTTCAGAATCAGCCCTAATTATCCAGACTATAAATTCAAGACTCTAAACGATAAACAAAGGAATTTTCGTAATTAGAACCATCTCACTGCTGGACTCACTAGAGTTCAGAGAGGTCAGAACTATTGAAGCCCAACTATTGAAGACCTTGAGGCCTCCAGGGTCACCTGGCCCAGATCATTGGTATTTTTAGAAACTGGTATAGAGTTACTAATGAGAAATGTGAGAGTGATAAAATTACTTCCAGCAGTATTTGCTGGCTGAACTGAGTAATCTTGAAGCCTGTTTTGTGTTGTGGTGACAACAGGTGAACAAAGTGTATAGTAGCCTGGGATCTGACGCCAAAGCTTCTGGGTGGAGCTGATCTTTTTTTAAATCCTCACCCGAAGCTATGTTTTATTGATTTTAGAGAGAGAAGAAGGGAGACAGGGAGAGAGAGAAACATCTATCAGTTGCCTCCCAGGTGTGCACCGACCTGGGATTGAACCTGCACCCTAGGCATGTGCCCTATCTGGAAATTGAACCCTCAGCCTTGTGGTATATGGACAACACTCCAACCACTGAGTCACCAAGGCAAGGCTGGATGGGGTTGATCTTAAACACCCAAGGAACACACTC